ACTAATTTATTCATGCATAAATTAATGTAATCTATAGAGTATCTTAAAGTTTTATGAAAATTTTGTTATACACGATCTGCTAGTTGCACGCTTCCGCACCCCGAAATCGTTTTGAAAACCAACATATGATATGTCTCTAACTTTTTCCCCTTCATCTAACTCTATCAATTTTTTGAACGGAAATGTTGATATGACCATTAAATTGCTAATTATCTATGATATTTGAGGTTTATTGAATACTTTCTCCTCTAAAAATGTTAGTTAATCACCCATTCTCAAAACATTTGTTGATTATAGGCAATAAAGAGGGAAAAAATGATGAGCAAATCTGTATGATGTAATGAATTTTGTTATTATTTTCCTAATATTTCACCTAGATAGAAGTGCTCGACATAAAACATGTTTATGCTTTATACATATATAGCATTTCTATATCTAAATGCGTTCAAGTAATTATTTTATTGCACTTTTAAAAAAATACAAACCTTAAGAAACCCATTAACTTAACAAACTTTAATGGTCAAATATAATAGATAATTAGCAATTTAATGGTCATATTAACATTTTCGTTTAAAAAATTGATAGAATCAAGATTGAAGGAGAAAAGTTGGAGACATATCATAGTTCGAAGGACAAATCATAGTTCAAAGGACAAATCATAGTTCGAAGGACAAAACAGGTACGTTTTAAAGTTCAGAGGGCATATTGACACAAGTGACAAGTTCAGGGGGTGTTTATAAGCATTTTCGATAAAAAAAAACTTAACGAAATTAACCACAAGGGACATGCTGACACAAGTGATAAATTTAAGAGACACAACATGCATATTTTAAAATTTAAAGAGCATGTTGACACAAATAATAAAGTTTATGGAGAATTTATAAAGTTTGTCCTTAACCCAAAAAAAAAGTAAACAACACTAGGGAACACACTCTTTAGAGAGAGAGAGAGAGAGACAATAACATATGTGAAGAGCCTGTTTACGAATTTCATCTCGATTTGTACGGATGAAATCAGACAGACACTTAAAAGATAAATGCCTTAAATTTATGTTGTGGATTGATTTTTGGCATGATAAAAAAGTTATTGGAGAGAATTCGTGCCATGATATTATAAATATTTTTTTGACTCGAAGTACTAATTTTTTTCTATTGTTTCTTTTTGCATAGGTCGGAGTTTAGCCAACAAGGAAATTTTTTTTAAAAATTATTTGTTATACATTAAAATATACACTTTGTTAGATATTCACTTAAAATTTTTAATAAAATTTACACCTTATTGATTTTTTTCTTAAATAAGGTGACACATTCCTTTTTTTGTTTTTGTTTTCCTTTTGATTTGTATTAGGCAAAATCCCATAAATACTCCTTCCTTCGAAATCCCACATTTAACCCTTTATTGTAGAAATATAAAAAATAATCCTGTAAATTTTAAAAAAATGTATAACTTACTCCTTTGGACTGGACTCAAATTTCTTAAAAGAACATTACTAATTCGTTAACAAATATTGTGTTTTAAAAAACAATACAGAATTAACCTTCCTTCAATGGTAATACAAATACTACAATGATTAATGTTGAGGTCAAATTTTGTACCTATTCTCTAACCGTACACTTGGCAATTTGAGCTTCGAAAGGTCACTAAACAAGTCACCGCGACTCCTTGAGGAGGCATAATCGACTGGTCATCTTCACCGGTCGACCTTATGAGTCGATGAATAGTCTTGGGCATCAATTCACGAGAGAATATCCTCAAGACATTCCTTATACGGAATTTGGCAACATATTCAGTCAGAAAAGGAAAGAAATCGACTATTTCAGCTAGAAGAATTAATAAGGAAAAAGGTCAACGGTCGACTTATGCCACAAACAACCCTCTCAATGGACGAAATTGATTGTATTCTATATAAGGAAACTATATCTCCAGCAATCTAGTAATAAAGAAGCCGGATCAACTTAAAATGCATAAGAAACCATGATTGACCAGTTGATTATGGACACAACCAATTAAGCAAAGTCATTCAGCTCCTAGAAAGGAAGGAAATATCACGAATTGAAGGCCATATCACGCAGAGAAACGGGAAACAACTCGTGGAGCCTTATCAACTATAAATACAAGGCATTTCGACATAGTTCGACATGCTTCCATTGCACACTAAAGCTCTTATGCTCATTTCTAGAAGACTTTTCTATTTCTTACTGTATTTTCCAACACATATTTTTCTCTCTCATCCTGTTCTTCTAAGAATGATTCATTGTAACACTTTTCAGCAGTCATAGTGAAACCACCAAAGCCCTATAGAAGATGTACCATGCATTATCAGGGGAGCCACTATAATTTCTTGTGTCTTTTACTGCTTTTCATTTACTTTCACGTTTAATAGCACTCTCGTTCTCGCAGTGGAACAATTTCATCAATGGATGACTGTTAACTCGGTCATTAGCCCTTGATTTAATCAATTGTAGATTTTACCCACTACAGTTAACTTTTTGCAACTGTGTAGTTACAGATTAGTCTAATAATAATTTCATACCTGATTTTATCATAAGATGATGAATTTGAACTCCCTCACTCTTAATTTAAGTTAAAAAAAAAGATCTTGAGCTTAAACAACGCCTTCATCTTTTTTTTTTCCTCTTATCCAAATTCAAGTAGATCAGTCATTCATTCATTACTATTTTTCTCTAATTTTGTCCTTTCTTGAGATTCTTTTCACTTTCGATGTGAAGTAGAATGAGAACAATTTTGATAGACTAATAGTTTTAAAATTTTAATAAATCCAAGAATTTACGTTTCTCTCTTAAAAACGCTAAAAAATTGATGTTTTATTGACGAAAATATCAAAGTTGCAACTTCTATTAAGTTCAAAGGCTAGTTTTTTTTTTTTATTCCTTTTAAACTCTAGGGGAAAAAATGAAACAACCCCTATTCTTTTAAACTTTAAAATTTATCTGCGCACCCCCGAACTTTAAAACGTTATTAATTTTGCCCCTTATGTTAATTTTATTAACGGATTTGATAACGTGACAATTATTAAAGGGATAGTTTAATGAATTATTAACGGATTTGAAGTATCTACATTATTTAAAAAGGCCCATGATCTATGAAAACATATCAAAATGCCCCTTAATCTATAGAAAACATAATAAAATAATAATTTTGTTGATGCCATTAAAAAGTTAATTAGATTTACTAAATTCTAATTAAATCAATGAAAGTGATTAAATATGAAAAAATAATTAAAATAAATGCATGGAACACTTTAAAATAATTCAAAAATCAAACAAATCAACTATTTTTTTTAAAAATAAATAACCAAAATGAAAAGAGGTAAAGATTTTCGAAAAAACCTACTTCTCTTTGTTAATATTTATTTAATTTTAAAAAAATTTCCTCTTTTCTTGTTTTAATATTTGAAAAATAAATAGCTGATTTATTTAATTTTGAATATTTTAAATTCGTGTTTTATATTTATTTTTCATTATTTTTTATTATATAATCACTTTTCTTGATTTAATTAGAAACTAATATGTTTATTTAATTTTTAATGGCATGTTAATAAAATTGTAATTTTATTACAGTTTCTATATATAAGGGGGCATTTTGATATGTTTTAATAGATTAGGGTGGAATTTTAAATAGGATACATACTTTAGGGGACATTTATGAAAATAATCTATTAAACTACTTACCCCTCTAATAATTGTCACGTCATCAAATCCGTTAATCAAATTAACAGACTGGACAAAGTTAATAACGTTTCAAAGTTCGTGGGGCGTGTAGACTAATTTTTAAAGTTCGGAAGATAAAGTGACAAAGAGATAAAAATTCAGGGGCAAAGTAACATTTATCTTTTTTCATTTATTATTTAATTATGGGTTAATCTCACAAATGGTCCATGAGGTTTGGCCTCAATCTCACTTTAGTCCATGACTTTTCAAATGTCGCACAATTAGTCTCTAAGGTTTTCTTCTGTTTCAGTTTTGGTCATTCTATTCGTTTGGTGTTAAATATTTGACCGAATATGTAGAAATTATGAATAAAATTGAAAACATAATAAAGTTTACAAACTAAAATAATACAAAAAACTAAAAGTTAATTTTTACAGATAGACTTAAAATTTTAGGTGTTTCTAATTTTGGGCTCTAATTTACACATATTCTATCAAATTTTAACGTCTAATTAATAGAAGGACCGAAACTAAATAAAATAAAACCTCAAGTACAATTTGTGCGATGTTTGAAAAGTTATGGATTAAAGTGAGATTGAGTGTAAATCGCAAGGACCATTTGTAGAATTTACCATTTGATTATTAATTTTGGAATCACATCTCTTGCACTGAAATCTAATTCTGGAACCAGCTCTCTTGCACGGAAAGTTTCTCCATTATCAAACCACTTTTCGAACCCATAGCCTCTCTCATCTTCATTATGCATTCAATCATAAAATGAAAGATTAATTTTAAAAATTTTCTCCGAACTAAAACAGACTCAACCCACAGCCCCAATCAAACCCAAATTAACGAGATTCAATTCAAATATACAAAAGCTTTGTTGTCCAATGTTAAACAATTTACCTTATACCGAATACAACTATAAAATTGTCTTCCCGGATTCTTCTTCGTGTGTGATGTCTTCACTACCGGATCCAACCCACATTAACATTGAATAGGACCTCGAATTACTTCGTTTACCTAGCCGCTGACACCACTGTTTGTACTGTAAGAACTTGCTATTGATGAACAAGGTGAGGAAAAAAAGAAATAAAATGAGAATGAAGATGATGAATTTTTCAATAAAAATAAGAAATTATATGATTAGGAGAGTATAAGTGTAATTGTATTTTTAATTCTTATTAAATAAATAATACGTGATAATTTCATCACTTATTATAATAAAAAAATAAAATTTGTTAACGGAATAAATTTTAAGAGAAACGGACAAAATGTTACGAATGTCATAATTTGAAGGGAAATTTCTGAAATTAATCCTTTCTATAATTATCCGAGAGGAAATGAAGACGGCCACGAGAGACTTTTACACACGGCGAAAATGGCGGTTCAACTCTCTGGCCAGTGGCTAGTACCAAACTCTCCAACATTCTCAGGCCAATTTTCTCAGTGCCGAAGCAAACCCAAAAATCTATTCTCAACAACTCTCTGTGCTACGGCTTCTTTCTCTTCTCCACCTTCCACTATCCAGGCAAGAAATTCCCAAACTTAAACTCAATAGAGCTTGACTTTATTCATTTATATTTTTAGTTATTTGTGTGCCAGTCAAGTTTTTCTTGATGAATATCGTGAAACTTAATCCGGGTAGTTTTTGTTCCGCGCAAAAAAGTTAATTTTATGGGGGGTTTTGATGGTTATGAAAAAATAAAATTGCAGATTGTTGGTGGGAAAAGTCCAAGTTTATATGTAAATGAGAATTCCTCAAATCTGTACGACTCTGGAGTTGAGAATGACTGGGTTGATCTTGATATGGATCTTTATCACTGGACTAAGGCACTGAGGCCTGTTCAGGTATGAAATGAATTAGCTTTGCCTAAGGCAATTTATAAAATTCAATATTTGAAGGCCTCTTTTTGGTGTCATTTCCATTTTGTTTTTTATATTGCTAACAACGTCTTGAGCATATTTCCGCTCTTCATTTCGCTTTAGTGTATAATAGAGGATCCCAATTAATCTGTCCTTTTTTTTGGTACCAAATGAGGTAAGGATAGCAAGTCAATTGTCATTTTTTCAATTGGTGAATATATTTATAAAATGGTGTATTTTATAAGTGAAAAGTTATATCATTTGGTACAAAAACAGACCTTAGGTGATAGTTGGGTGAATTTTAAGGATTGGGAACTGATGAATTTTACTTGGATAAATATGCTGAAACTTGGCAGTGGTATCCTGGGCATATTGCTAAAACCGAAAAAGAGCTTAAAGAACAGCTAAAGTTGATGGACGTGGTGATAGAAATGCGAGATGCGAGAATTCCCATGTCAACTAGTCATCCACAGGTCAGAGCTTCTTAATACAGTTTTAGTCATTAATAAGTTAGTTGGTGTTAAGATGTTAAGTTGAAGATTAGTGCACTGAATATTCGGATTATATAGTTTGTATTTTTTATGGGAACAAACTTGTAGGACGGGAAAGCATTAGTTAGGTTGTTGGATGTTGAGGCCAACCATTTAAGACTTGATATGATGTTGAACTTTCTTGATGCTTAACTTTTTTTATAGCTTCTCATGAACAGATGGATTCATGGCTTGGTAATAGGAAAAGAATTTTGGTGTTGAATAGAGAAGACATGATATGCACGGCAGACCGGAATGCGTGGGCAGCTTATTTTGCGAGGCAAGGAACAAAAGTTGTCTTTTCAAATGGCCAACTTGGAATGGTACTTTTATTTGTTCAGTAGGAAAACTGGAACTTAAATTTAGACTCTTTACCAGTATTTTGTGATCATGAATGAACATATCAGCAGGATATAATTAATCTCATATGGTAAGTGCAGGGTACGATGAAGCTTGGCCGGTTGGCCAAGGCTTTGGCTGCAGGTGTAAATGTCAAACGCAGAGCCAAAGGACTGCTTCCTCGACGGGTAAGTTCCATTGCAATTGTATGCCAATGCTAATACTAGTTTAATAGTTTTTTTCTTTTACTTCTGTTTTAAAGCAATGGTCTTTTGTTTAAATTCTTTCACTTTGTGCATTAGATTTTCTCTTTATTGTTTTCTTGAATAAAAAACTGAAGAACTGTTTACAATCTATCATTTTCAGCTGTTTGACTACTTTTTATATTGTCAAAATCACAAATTAACTAATATATATTGCATATTTCATTTTTACTAACAGATTCGAGCTGGAATAGTTGGGTATCCAAACGTTGGGAAATCTTCTTTGATCAACCGTTTGTTGAAGCGACGGATGTGCCCAGCGGCTCCAAGACCAGGGGTTACAAGGGAATTGAAGTATGCATTTTGTGGAAAATCAGAGAATAAAACTTATTATTATTTATCAAAGAGCTTGGTTACATATATATACACTTAGGCTATCAATACATTCTAGGAAGTTGACTATTCTAGAATAAGGAAACTAACAAATAAGGAAACTAACAGATAATTACAACCTAATTTCCTATATTAAGAAAAACCGGTATCTGCCTATTATTGATACAAATATTCTCATACTATCTATGGGATATGTAATCCCGAATTTCCAACACTCCCCCTCATGCTAGGAATAAATATTTTCCATTCCTAGCTTGCATATGATTCTTTGAAACATTGAACTCGCCAACCCCTTAGTTAGAACATCTGCTAGCTGACCACCAGTAGAAACATAAGGAGTACAAATCAACCCACTTTCAAGTTTTTCTTTTATGAAATGCTTGTCGACCTCCACGTGTTTAGTCCTGTCATGTTGAATTGGATTGTGAGCAATATTGATCGTAGACTTATTGTCACAGTAAAGCTTCATCGGCGTCTACCACTTTATCTTCAAATCATCTATTATAATCTTGAGCCATAACAACTCACAAATCTCCTGTGCCATAGACCAAAACTTTGCCTCTGCACTGGACCTGGCAACCACTAGTTGTTTTTTGCTTCTCCAGGTCACTAAGTTTCCACCAAGTAAAGTACAATACCTAGACGTTAACCTTCTATCAGTGATTGAACCGGCATAATCTGCCTCTGTGTATGCTTCAAGTTCCATCTTTGTGCCTTTCTTGAACAAAATTCCTTTTCCAGGACAGCTTTTCAAGTATTGCAAGATTCTGTATACCGCAAGAAGATGGCTCTCCTTAGGATTCTGCATGAACTGACTCACTACACCTACGACATATGAGATGTCTGGTCGTGTGTGTGCTAGATAAATTAACTTCCTAACAAGTCACTGGTACATGCCCTTGTCAACTAGCTCTCCTCCCATGGATTCCCCTAGTTTGTGATTTGGCTCAATAGGAGTATCCAACGGTTTGCATCTCATTTTTCTTGTTTCTTTCAGCAAGTCCAGGACATACTTCTGTTGTGAGACAAAAATTCCTTCTTTGGACCGAGCAACTTCTATTCCGAGAAAGTACTTTAGTTTTCCGAGATCTTTAATCTCGAATTCTTTGGCCAAGTACTTCTGCAATGCTTCCTTCTCCCTTGGATCATTTCCTGTAACAATAATGTCATCCACATACACTATCAAGGTAGTAACTCCCCATGAAGCTGAGTGTTTGATAAATAGTGTATTATCCCCTTGACTCTGTCTATAGTTCATACCCAACATTGCTTTAGTGAATCTCCCAAACCATGCTCGAGGAGATTTTTTAAGCCCATATAAAGCCTTTTTGAGTTTACACACTTCATTGGCTTTTAGATTCATACCGAAGCCGGGTGGAACTTCCATATAGATTTCTTCCTCAAGGTCTCCTTGCAGAAATGCATTCTTCACATCAAACTGTTGTAATGGCCAATCAAAATTGGCTGCTAGAGCCAACAACACTCTTATTGTATTCATTTTTGCTACTGGTGCAAATGTCTCCTGTCTCCTGATAGTCCACACCATATGTCTGTGTGTAGCTTTTGGCCACCAGCCTAGCCTTATAACATTCGATAGAACCATCAGACTTATATTTACCGTGAACACCCATTTGCATTCTACAGGTTTCTTCCCTTTAGACAGCTCTACTATCTCCCATGTTTTATTTTTCTCCAAGGCCTCCATTTCTACTTTCATAGCATGCCGCCATTCCTCTTTGCTGAGTGCTTTAGATAGGGTTTGAGGAATAGCTACACTGTTTAGATGAGTGAGGAAGCTCTTATGTGAAGTTGATAATCTCTCAAAGGATACAAAATGAGATATGGGATGTTGTGTGCACTTCCTAACACCTTTTCTTGTGGCAATGGGCAAATCTAAATCAAGGACAGTGGGTGATTCGGAGTTTACCTCATTTCCAAGCAACAATTCAGATTCTTGAACTTGCTTAGTGCTAATCACGGGCTTTACTCTTCTTGTGTAGACTTAGAAGTGGTTCTGTAGTCACAGACACAGGCTCGAGGGCTGAAGTGGGAATAGACTCAAGAACTGGAGTAGGTGTAGGTTCAGACTCATCAAGGACTGGAGTAGGCTCGGACTCACCAAGGATTGGAGTAGGTGTAGGCTCGGTTGACTAAGGGAATTTGGTAGACTCGGCTGACTCAGGGAATTTGTTGACTAATGGGACACTTAGAAACAAGTCCTGATTTTCCATAGTTAATGTCCCCCCCTGAAGAGAAGGACTTGAGAAGTAATTTTCTCGTTCAACAAATGTGACATCTGCAGAGACATAGGTTTTTCAAGTGGGAGGATGATAGCATTAATACCCCTTTTGTGTAGGTGAATACCCAATGAACACACATTTGACAGCTTTAGGATCTAGTTTACCCCGTCCATGAGGGTGAACATGAGCAAATGACACACACCCGAAGACTTTAGGGGATATTGTAGATGACATTTTGAAGTGGGGATAGTAGTGAGACAACAAGTCCATGGGACTCTTAAAATCATGAACCCGGGACGGCATGCGGTTTATCAAATGGGTGGCAGTAAGTAGAGCTTCCCCCTAAAAAGTTTTTGGAACCCCTTTGTGAAACAAAAGAGCACGGACAGTGGCTAATAAATGACCATTTTTCCTTTCTGCTACCCCATGTTGTTGGGGTGTATCAACACAAGATGATTCATGGATAATTCCTTCCTTTAAAAGGTATGGGGACAAGAATTGGTTAAAGTAATCTCTAGCATTGTCAGTTCTTAGCCTCTTAATTCCCACAGTGAATTGATTTTTGACCATTGTATGAAAAATAGGAAAAATATGGCTTACATCATATTTTTGTTTAAGTATAAACTCACGTAACTCGAGTACAATCATCAGTGAAAGTAACAAACCAACGAGCCCCTGAAATGTTAGGAACCCGGGATGGAATATCACTATGGATCAAAGAAATTGGAATGATATTCCGTTATTACTTATAGGAAAAGAGACACGTTGGTGTTTAGCAAACTCACAAATATCACAATGAAATTCTTTTGCACTAACATCCTTGAACAATGAGGGAAACATTATACTAAGTGTATTAAAGGAGGGATGACCAAGTCTATGGTGATGTAGCCAAATTTGCTCTTTGTTGTGTTGAGAGGTGCTTGACAGATATGAGTGATTTGGGTTGTTCTCTAGACTGCCCGGTAACTGGAGATAGTAAAGCCCATGTTTTACCTTAGCAAGTCTAATCATCCTCCTCGTAGCTCGGTCTTGAAATACACAAGAGTCACAAGAAAACACAACATTGCATCTTAAATCCTTGGTAAGTTGGTGAATAGACACAAGATTTGTAGATAATTTAGGAACATGCAGGACATTTTTTTATGTCAATGATGGGCTTAGAATGACATCCCCCTGACCGGCAATAGTAGCCAAGGATCCATCAGCAATAGAAATTTTCGTATTGCTCGGGCAAGGTTGATATGTGCTAAAGAAAAGGGTGGAATTGGTCATATGATCAGTTGCTCCGGAGTCAATAACCCATGAGTTTGAGAATCCTATATTCGAAGCACTTAAAGCTTATGAGGAGTGAGGCTTACCCAAATTTTCTAGGGAACAGGTACCTGTTGACTTCTCCAATGAATCAAGAAGTGCCCTTAATCTCCCAATGTCCTCCTTGTTGAGTTCATTGTGCTCTCCTCCACCGGTATTTGCAACTTCCATGTCTTTGCCCTCTTGAGATTGAGTCATATGCACTTGACCCCGTTGTGTTCCACCTCTCGATCCCCTGTTCCGTTGAGAACTTGTGGTTTTCCATGTAGCTTCCAACATTGCTCCTTTGTGTGGCGGGATTTCTTACAATGGGTACACCAAAGATTATCCTTGTTTGAGGGCTGCGGCTCCAATTTCCTAGCCTCCGAATTTCCGGCATTGAAGGATTGCGGTCTCTCTGTATTGGACTTCTGTTTTTCATCATTGAATTTCCCTAGCATTGCAGACCCTTCAACCGGTGGTGTATTGAGCATAACTCCTCTTCGACTCTCTTCAGCATTGACAATAGAAATAGTCTCGTTAAGTGAAGGTAACTCCTCCTTACCTAGAATTTGAACCCTTTATCAAATTCCATGTTTAATCCGGCAAGGGAATTATAAACTATATCCTTCTCAATAAAGTTTTTCAATGCAGCTGCATCCTCACTGCATTTCATTTCAATACACCGATAATGATCCATCTCTTGCCACAAATTCTTCAAAGAATTGGCATACTATGTGACCGAACGCTCACCTTGTTTGGCTGCCCAGAGTTTAGTCTTAATCTCAAAAATTCGTGCAGCATCTTTCACCTTAGAGTAGGTCTGTTGTGCAGCTTCCCATATGTCCTTGGCTGTTGGTAGAAACATGAAGGTGTCACTGACTTCCGGTAGCATGGAATTCCACAGCCAAGACATCCTCCTCATCCCAAGCATCAAACTTAGGATCCTCCTTCTTGGGTCCAGTACCAAGTAGATGGCTAATTTTTCCTTTTCCCTTTAGGAACGTTCAAACCACCTGAGACCATTTCATATAATTCTTCCCATTTAATCTATAGGCCGCCTGAATACTTGGAAGATCTTCCGTCGAGTGAATTAGTTGCGTTTCTTCTGACTGGGCAGTGTTTCGGGATTGGGAAGATTGTGTTGTTGTGGACATATTGAAAGGTCAAGAGAAATTGATTCTGACCAGAACAGCAAGAAATTGAGACAAAGAATAGGGACTATAAGCGGACAGGAATAAGCAATTAAGGCTGAAATAAGAACAAAGGAAGTTCGCGATGACGGCTGGAAAAGAACGGCAATGAAGGCCTGGAAAAATCAGCGATGGAGGCTGAACAGAATGTCAAACAATGGCTCTTATACCATGTGGAAAATCAGAGAATAATTTTTATTATTATTTATCAAAGAGCTCGGTTACATGTATATACACTTAGGCTGTCAATACATTCTAGGAAGTTGACTATTCTAGAATAAGGAAACTAACAGATAATTACAGCCAAATTTCCTATATTAAAAAAACCGGTATCTGCCTATTATTGATACAAATATTCTCATACTATCTATGGGATATGTAATCCCGGGTTTGCAACACATTTCTCTTTTTTTGTTTATTAGATACCACAGAAAATGTAAACTTGTAATTTTTGCTTGTTATATGACCTTTCATGAAAATCCTAGATAACTAAGGCAATCATCGCTTTTAAATGAGTATATTTCCACTTGGTGAAGAGAGTATTGAAATTTGTTAAAGATGATTAATCTAAATATATCAACCATTTTATGGCTAATAAAGTCCAGATATGGAGATTCGAAATTGTAGAGAAATAAGTGCCTATATTCTTTCCCGTTGTGAATCATACTGAGGGTTTCTGCTTTTCATGCCAAGACCAGGGAAAGATACTAAAAATTTTCACGTGATCCTATACATATGCAAGATAATAAATATGAGCCACTTGGGGTTCATTTGGCACCTATACTTGAATCCATGATTCTGATTCTACTACAATGCTTTTCATCCCACAAAGAATTTGAATTTAAAAATTTCTTCTCTCACAAAGTTCCCGCCAATGAATCAGAATCACTGACTTGAATACATAAATCAAACGGACCCTTAATCTAATGTATACTATTTTTTTTTTCTTTCCGTTAAGGTGGGTTCGTTTTGGGAAAGATCTTGAACTGCTTGACTCTCCTGGCATGATTCCAATGAGGATCAGTGATCAGTCTGCTGCGATAAAGCTTGCAATATGTGATGACATTGGAGAAAGATCCTATGATTTTGTTGATGTTGCTGCAATTCTTGTACAGATGCTGACAAAGATTCCATCAGTAGGTACATCCTAAAATGTCCCTTTTAATATCTTTTTTTGAAAATTTATGGTGGTAGATCTCCAAGATCAGCCTAGATTGAACAATTTTACAGATGAGTAGAGTCTTAAAAGTTTGGTATTTTGTAAGTAAACATATTTCTTCTACTCTGTTTGCTTAACTGTTGAGAGAGAATTTGTCGTCATTTTTAACTTATTAGTAATCTAGTTTGTCTTGTGATCCCCATTTCTAGAGTGGATTACTAATGTTTTCAATAATAAGTTCCGACATCAGAAATCAGGATCTATTTGTGCCTCATTTTTTCTATTATTGCCAGGTATCGAGGCTCTTCAAAAACGCTACAAGATTGACGTGGATGGTCACTGTGGAAAAGTGTACGTCCCCTCCGTAGTTACTGAACAAATTGATGAACTGATTGATATATTTCTCATAAGCTGTACAACCTATTTATAGATTACAAAACAGTCTACCTAAGAGCTATTTATGGTAACACAATATTCAGCACTAATTATAAATAAAGGCCTAATATACAAGAATTTTCAGCTTGCATTGACTCTGGAAATCAGGGAACAAATTCCCTTAAAACCAGAGTCAACGAATCCTTGAAGATTCGTCAACAGTTACTTTTTCATATGAAGATTGACGTATTGTACAAGATTTCTCTTGGTGATTATTATAAATTGTAATTAAAATGCAATAATAATAGATTGAAAGAAAGTTAGGAGATAAACATATATTAAATTGTAGGAAATCTCGGATGAGTAATCTTAGGAGATATTTCAGGAAAGTTAGTGGAGGAAATCAGGGTTAAAATATGTCCCTAAAGTTAAGGGAATTAGCTGTAGACTTTCCTTGTTTAGTGTAACAGAAAATTGTATATATAGACTAGAATGAATTGTAAAGTAAAATACAGAATTAATAAAATTTTCAGAATCTTTTTTCTTCATGGTATCAGAGCCCGTCTAGGGTTTCTGGGAAATATCACCTTCGCTTCTTGTTAATCCCAGCCTCAATTGCTGGTTCTCTTCAGCCTTTATTGCTGTTTCTTTTTCCCTATTTTTTTTATTCCCACCTATTATTTGACCCTATTCAATCATGACGGACGTTACATCTTCAACGCCATTGCCGCAATTGTCTTCAACTGTGGAGGAAGAACAGATTACACGAAGCACAACAGAGCTTCAGAACATCCAAGCAGCATATAGACTAAATGGAAAAAATTATCTGAAGTGGTCTCAACTGGTTCGAACGTTTCTGAAAGGGAAAGGAAAGTTGGGTCATCTACTGGAGATAGCACCAGAAAGCGGAACGGCAAGATTTGAAGCGTGGGAAGAAGAGGATTCAATGATCATGTCGTGGTTATGGAATTCCATGACCCTTGAAATCAGTGATACGTGTATGTTTCTTCCTACAGCAAGGGCGATTTGGGATGCCCTTCATCAAACGTATTCCAAGGTCAATGATGCAGCTCTTATATATGATATCAAGACAGACAACTGGAGCGAAACAGGGGACGAAAAGGGTGACAGAGTATGCCAATTTTCTGCAAAACTAGTGGCAGGAACTGGATTATTACAGGACACTTGATTTGAACTGTAGCAAATGTGCAGTGTTCATCATAAAGTTTATTGAAAGGGGCCGAGTTTATGATTTTTTGACTGGCCTAAATTCTGAATTTGATCTTGTACGAATTGAAATTCTGGCCAGACCTGAATTTCCTTCTCTAACCGAAGCAATATCCCTGGTTCGTGCAGAAGAGAGCCGCAGGAGCATTATGTTAAAGTCGCCTTCAACCGAAAATTTTGCTCTTCTAAGCTCTAAACCTCAGGGGCTGGTACTGGACAAAGTTGCTGCGGACAAGACCAATCAATCAAGTCTGCAAAAGGATCGCGAAGAATTGTGGTGCACGTACTGCAAGAAACCACGGCACACCAAAGAACGATGCTGGAAACTACATGGGAAACCATCCACAAACAGTTGTGAATGGGAACATAAAGGTGGCCAGCACAAGTAGGCTCATGTGTCGGTTCAAGACCCAACTCAGGTGTTTGAAGGACTGAGTATGGAGGAAATTGAGAAGATTAGAAGTATGCTTGAGACTATTGAAAAACCAGCAACTAACAATTCTCAACCAACGAATCAGGGTATGTGTTCATTGACACTTTCAGGTGAGGCTCTAATCTCTCTTGGGTTAAATGCTTTAGGTAATGAGCTTAGGAATGTCTGGATCCTCGACTCTGGTGCTACGGACCATATGACCCATATTTCAAATAAATTCAAAACCTATACCCCCGTCCTAGCAATAGAAAGATTGTTGTTGCTGATGGTTCTACAACCACAGTAGCAAGAATAGGAGATGTCTAGGTTACCCCAAAACTGATGCTTAAAAATGTTCTTCATGTTCCCCAGTTATCTACAAATTTGGTTTCCATACAAAGGCTTACCAAAGATCTACCTGGCTGTGTTATATTCCATGATTCTTGTTGTGAATTTCAGGACCAGGGTTCGGGGAAGAGGATTGGACTTGCTAAGGAGCATAATGGACTCTATTACTTGGATACATCAAATCAACCGGAATACAGTAAATCTGCCCTGTCCACGTTGTTTTCTTCTTCCAATAAGGATGTCATCTGGTTACATCATAGGCGCCTAGGTCATGTGTCTTTTCCTACGTTGAAAATAATGTTTCCTTCTTTGTTTAAGGGATTTGATGTTCAGTCTTTTCATTGTGATATTTGTGAGTATGCAAAACACACCCGTGTACCATTTCCCATCAGTAATAAAAGATCTTTTTTTCCTTTCTTTTTAATCCATAGCGATATTTGGGGGCCATCAACTGTTCCAAACATCTTAGGGTCTAAGTGGTTTGTCACATTCATTGATGATTGCACAAGAGTCTCTTGGATCTATTTACTCAAAAATAAGTCTGATGTGAGTCATATTTTTCCTATCTTTCACGCAATGATTCAAAATCAATTTGGCACCAAGATAAAGCACTTTCGTTCGGACAATGCTCGTGATTATTTCAATCAAATCATGAGTCCATATTTCCAAAAAGAAGGAATCATACACGAATCATCCTGTATCACTACTCCACAACAAAATGGAGTGGCAGAAAGAAATAACCGACATCTTCTTGAGTGCATTAGAGCCTTATTGTTTCAACAAAATGTGCCAAAAACATATTGGGGAGAAGCTGTACCCACATCAGCTTATGTCATAAACAGAATTCCTTCCAGGGTCTTGGGGTTTCAAAGTCCACTAGAAAACCTGTCCTAATTCTACCCCGATATTCGATCTTCCTTCAATCTCAATCCTCGGGTTTTTGGGTGTACTTCCTTTGTCCATGTTCTTAGTCATAACCGTGAGAAGTGAGATCCTCGTGCTCTTAAGTGTGTCTTCGTGGGGTACTCATCTACTCAAAAGGGTTACAAATGTTATCATCCACCTACTAGAAAAATCTATATCTCAGCCGATGTTACATTTGTTGAAAATATGCCCTATTTCACCACTCCTTATCTTCAAGGGGAGTTACATACACTTGAAGATAAGGAGTCAAACTTTCCACCACTAGAGTCGTCCAAATCTGAATCTCAAAAGTCAAAAGGAGATGGTAAAATCTTTGACTAGTTCCGGTTTGACCAAGTGTATGCAAGGAAAGGAGATCCCATTGTGACTACAAGGCAAGAACAATCCTCTGAACCAAGCTCCGGAAATGAGGTAACAATGAGTGAATCAAATCTGAATTCTACACCACCAACAGACCATCCTTCTACCAGCCCTGAACCACCTTGTCCCGAGCCTCTTAGCCTTGACTAGGACCTACACCTGCCTATTGCTGTAAGAAAAAAGACTCGAGAATGCACAAAAAGGCCCCTATACCCATTGTCTCACTTTGTGTCTTTTGAGAAGTTTTCCCCAAGCCATCAAAGTGTCCTTTCCACCTTAAACACAGTTTCTATTCCTAGCTCATTGTCTGAAGCATTATCAAAGAAAGAATGGAGATTTGCTATGGAAGTAGAAATGGATGCATTAGAGAAGAATGTGACTTGGGAATTGGTTGATTTACCAAAGGGTAAGAAAACAGTGGGCTGTAAGTGGGTGTATGCAGTAAAATTTAAGGCAGATGGGTCCCTAGAACGTTACAAGGCGAGGTTAGTCGCGAAAGGATACACACAGACATATGGAGTAGATTATCAAGAAACGTTTGCTCCAGTAGCAAAGATGAATACAGTGAGGATTTTGCTGTCCTTGGCTATTAATTTTGATTGGGAATTGCAGCAGTACGATGTGAAGAATGCCTTTCTTCACAGAGAATTAGAAGAGGAGATTTATATGAGCATTCCACCGGGATTTAGTGGGGTTGACAAGAACAAGGTTTGTCGATTAAAAAAGGCGTTATATGGGCTGAAACAATCCTCACGTGCTTGGTTTGGACGGTTTGCCAAGGTGATGATAGCTAGTGACTACAAGCAAAGTCAAGGAAATCACACGCTTTTCATCAAGCATTCGGCCTCAGGGAGAGTCATTGTTTTAATTGTGTACGTGGATGACATTATAGTGACAGGAAACGATGAAGTAGAGAAGGAGGCCTTGAAGCGGTGTCTAGCCAAGGAATTTGAAATAAAAGATTTAGGAAGATTGAAGTATTTTCTTGGAATTGAGGTGGTTCGATCAAGGCGGAGAATTTTTATTTCTCAACAAAAGTACGTTACGGACCTGCTCAAGGACACAGGCATGACGGCTAGCAAACCGGTTGGAACTCCCATTGAACAAAATCACAGATTAAGTGAGGCTCTTGGAGATAAGGCAGTGGACAGAGATATGTACCAAAGACTTGTTGGGAAACTCATCTATCTCGCACATTCTAGGCCAGATATAGCTTACTCCGTCAGTGTTATCAGTCAGTTTATGCATGATCCGAGAGAAGTTCACCTATAGGCAGTCTACCTAGTGCTTTCATTACTTAAAGGCACATCCAGGGAAGGGAATTTTATTCAAAAAGGGATCTGCAATTGATCTAGCAGTTTACACAGATGCAAACTATGCAGGGTCTCCAGTCGATAGGCGATCAACTTCGGGCTATTGTACCTTTCTTGGAGGAAACTTGATATCCTGGAGAAGCAAGAAACAGAGTGTGGTAGCAAGGTCAAGCCCCGAAGCAGAGTTCAGAGCTATGGCAGCAGGAGTATGTGAATTATTGTGGGTCAAAATTATCCTAGAGGACCTGAAGATTCAATGGAGCAAACCGATGAAAGCTATACTGTGATAACAAATCAGCTATAAGTATAGCTCACAACCCAGTGCAACATGACCGGACAAAACACATAGAGATACACGTGCACTTTATTAAAGAGAAGCTAGACAGTGGACTGATTTATACTTTATATGTCCCGACAGGACTTCAACTTGCAGATGTGATGACAAAGGGACTGTGTAACATGTTTCATGAGAATGTTAGCAAGCTGGGGATGGAAGATCTATATTCACCAACTTGAGGGAGAGTGTAGGAAATCTCGGATGGTAATCTTAAGAGATATTTCAGGAAAGTTAGTGGAGGAAATCAGGGTTAAAATCTATCCCTAAAGTTAAGAGAATTAGCTGTAGACTTTCCTTGTTTAGTGTAACAAAAAATTGTATATATAGACTAAAATGAATTGTAAAGTAAAATACAAAATTAATAAAATTTTCAGAATCTTTTTTCTTCATAAATAAACAAAAAGAGCGGTCACATAAAACCACACTTTTCATAAAAAAAAAAAGTAAAACAGGCTGTTGCATATAACACATCTTGTGGGTTAGGTAATCAGAGTATGTGGTCGGAATTTACACAACATTCTATAACAACGTAGATGGTTTTGATATAATGCTATTTGTGAGTCAAGTTAGTATACAGTAAATAAATAATAAAAAAATTATATTATCATATATATATAGACGTATATATATGCTTATCTATATCTTATATATAATTTATGATATATAGATATATATCATATACCTAACTCGTTACTATATATATACATATGTAAATACCCTCAGCAAAGTATAAACAAAAGACAATAGTTTTATTGAAAAGAGGGCTAGTGGTAGCCTAGTGTATATAGGTTGCAGTAATATTATTTTTTCCAAGCATACTTTCCTTCAGTCTCTCTCTCTCTCTTTTCTTTCTCACACTTGCCCAAACAGTAGTTTTCTTGCTTGTGTTTTCGTCCTCCCTCTGCCCAGAACAGTACCATGCTTTATATACATATCCCATTGTTACTTGTGATTCCCACTAAAGTCTCCTTGTGATGTCTTCAGGAAGCTAAGCCATGCAAGGACACTAAACCCTACTCTAGTTTTAAGACATATTCACACCCATGAACATGTATTAAGCTCTGTTTAATCTGTGTGTTTTTGGATGGTAAGCTAAGCAAGAGAGAATTTTAAGCATGATTGGGTGATCAAATATACTGCCTTCCGGAAAGAGTTCGATTGGCATAAAGCGGAAAAGTAGACGTATATCACGCCCTCCTTTAACGTTCTAATTGTTGTTTTTGAAATATACAGATTTGTTCATAAGCTCGCGCTTCACTTGTTCAACGGCGACCATAACCAAGCGGCATTCCGGGTCTTGACCGATTTTCGGAAAGGGAAGTTCGGTTGGATTGCATTGGAGCGGCCGCCGCGGTGATAGACATTGACGGACGACATCGATGACGTGGGAGTTGCATGTTCATCATTGACAAAGAAAGAAAAGTAAATACAATTATGCATGCCCAATCCAGGCATTGAAAATGATCTGTTACTGAATGCCTGTGATTTCTTTGGAAGATTGGAGAAGAGCCAGGATGTGTTTTATCATTTGATTACACTCTCAGAAAGAAGTGATTGATTAGGAAGCTTCGTCCTTGGTCATTCTTTTTTCCCCTCTCACTCACTATCATTACTTGTAGTAGAACTGTTTATATCGGTACGTCTTTTGGGTTGCTTTAGTTTGAGGTACCATGATTATCTCACGTGTTATAATACACAGAAATAATATACATTTCCAACATTCATTTTCTACCCTACTAATACTGGTATACTATTTCTAATTTTAACTGGTTTATTCGATTATCACTATAGTAGATTCTGGTATTATTGCACCATAAAGCAGTTCCTTTTATGCCTTTTTTGAATGCTTATGTGTACAATATATCAATGTTTTGGTCTAAATTGGTATGAAATTTGGTCAGTTTGTCCAAGAGAGAGAATATCAAAGTACTTGCATCAATCGAAAGTAAGAGGTTTTAGCTTCTCCAATGTGTTTCGGATTTTTGTTGGAGAAAAGTGTGGTAAAATTTGAAGTTGGATTTGTTTGACTTTAGAGTCTTTTAGCCTTTGTCTCAAGAAATAAAAACTGATAAAAATAATAAAGAAGAACAAACCCCACATCGACAGTTTGGCCGAGTGGTCTAAGGCGTCAAATTTAGGCTCTGGTCCGAAAGGGCGTGGGTTCAAATCCCACAGCTGTCAACTCTTGCTAATATAAAGTCATATCTAACTTGCTTAAATTTACAAAATTTTATAATTTGTTGACATTGTTTTTATAGGCCATTTTTTTACAGACATGCCTAGAAAAATGTAAAAATTGTGTCCGTAAAATTTTATAATTTTATAACGTTATTTTTATTTTATTTTATTTTTTGAAGATAAAAAATAAAAAAAAATTATAAAAAATAGAATATTCATCAAAAAATAGTGCCGCTTGTTGTATTAATTCCTAAAAATCGTATATTAATTTTAGAATGCAAAACATAAATAAAAATATAAAATTTTGACCCATCCCGGCTCATGGGCGCCCCACTACGTGACCCGGCGATTTTTTGATATCGTTTTACTTTTTTGTCATTTTTTGAGGCCATTTTTTGCAGGCATGCCCAGAAAAATGTAAGGATAGTGTCTGCACAATTTGATAATTTTTTGACGTCATTTTTATTTTATTTTATTTTTCAAAGAAAAAATAAAGAAAATCATAAAAAATAGAATATTCATCAAAAAATGGTGTCGCTTGTTGTATCAATTCCTAAAAATCGTATATTAATTTTAGAATACAAAACATAAATGAAAATATAAAGTTTTAACCCATCCTGACCCCTGGGTGCCCCACTACGGAGTCGGGGGCTTTTTGACATCGTTTTATTTTTTTGTCATTTTTAGGCCATTTTTTGCAGGCATGCCCAGAAAAATGTAAGGATTGTGTATGCAAAATTTCATAATTTTTTGACTTTATTTTTATTTTATTTTATTTTTGAAAGATGAAAAATAAAAAAATCATAAACAAATAGAATATTCATCAAAAAATGGTGCCGCTTGTTGCATTAATTCCTAAAAATTGAATATTAATTTTAGAATGTAAAACATAAATAAAAATGTAAATTTTTTACCAATCCCGACCCCTAGGCTCCCCACTACGCGGGCCGGGGGCGTTTTGACAGCGTTTTATAATTTTGTCTTTTTTTGAGGCCATTATTTGCAGGCGTGCCCAGAAAAATGTAAGGATCGTGTCTGAAAAAGTTCATAATGTTTTGACGTCATTTTTATTTTATTTTATTTTTTAAAGACGAAAAATAGAGAAAATAATAAAAAATAGAATATTCATCAAATATTGATGCCGCTCTTTGCATTAATTCCTAAAAATTATGTATTAATTTTAGAATACATTCTAAAATTAGTATACGATTTTACGGAATTAATGCAACAAGCGTCACCATTTTTTTTTATGAATATTCTATTTTTTATGATTTTCTTTATTTTTCATCTTTAAAAAATAAAATAAAATAAAAACGACGTCAAAAAATTGTGAAATTTTGCAGACACGATCATTACATTTTTCTGGGCATGCCTGCAAAAAATGGCATAAAAATGACAAAAAAAGTAAAACGCTGTCAAAAAGCCCCCGGCCCGCGTAGTGGGGCGCCCAGGGGCCGGGATGGGTAAAATTTTTTTATTTTTATTTATGTTTTAGATTCTAAAATTAATATACAAGTTTTAGGAATTAATACAACAAGCGGCACCATTTTTTTATGGAAGAACTAGTCTATATACAGCTTTTCCTATATGCTCAATAATCTCAAAGGACCTAATATACCTAGGGCTTAATTTACCTTTCCTTCTAAACCTCATTACACCCCAGACTGGTGCAACTTTCAGAAATACCTTGTCACTTATTTCAAATTCCAGTGGTCATCATTTTTTATCTGCAGACTTCTTTTGTCAATCTTGAGAGACTTTCAATATTTCCTTGATTTTCTTGATAGCTTCACTGACTTGGTCCACAAGTTCTAGACCCAAATATATGCGCTCTCCAGCTTCATGCTAGTGTATCGGTAAACAAAATTTACGACCATACAAAATTTCATACGGAGCATCTTTGATGGACTCCTGGTAGCTGTTATTATAAGAAAACTCAATCAGAGGAAGATATCTACTCCACGATCCTTGGAAGTGTAACACGCAAGCTCTTAACATATCTTCCAAGGTATGAATAGTACACTCCGTTTGACCATGTGTCTGAGGATGCATCGCGGTACTGAACTTTAATCTTGTCCCAATGCCTTCTTGTAACTTCTTCCAAAATGTTGATGTAAATCTGCTGTCTCTGTCAGAAACTATGGAAAGTGGGACTCCATGTAGTCTCACTATCTCTTATATGTATATGTATGCTAGCTTATCAACCGTATAAGTTGTTCTCACTAGTAGGAAGTGAGCCGATTTGGTCATTCTATCCACTATGACCCAAATTGAATCATGTCTCTTCACAGTTCTTGGCAACCCTGAAACAAAATCCATGGCAATTTGTTCCCACTTCCATTCTGGAATCTCTAGCGGTTGCAGTAATCCACCGGGTTTTTGGTGCTTAGCTTTCACTTGCTGGCAAGTTAAACATTTAGCAACGTACTCCACTACATCCTTCTTCCTTCGGTGCCACTAAAAATAGTTCCTCAGATCTTGATACATCTTTGTTGTACCAGGATGCATTGAATACGGCGTATTATGAGCTTCATACAAAATTTGCCGTTTAATTTCTTCATCGTTGGGAACACACAATCGACCTTTAAATCCCAACACACCATCTTTCGAGATTTGAAAATTCATACGCCTATCCTTTATGACTTCATGCTTCAATTGTTCAATTAGAGGGTCTAAATGCTATTTACCTTTAATCTCTTCCACGATTGTCGGTTGCAGGGATAGTGTAGATAATTGTCCCACTACAAACTCTATCTCCAATTTACTCAAATTGTTTCTCAATTGACCTGGTATTCGAGGCAAAGTAACCAAACTAGCCACTATCTTCCTACTTAAGGCATCATCGACTTTATTCGCCTACCTGGATGGTAATGGATATCACAATCATAATCATTAATAAATTCCAACCATCTTCGTTGCCTTATGTTTAATTCCTTCTGTGTGAAGATATACTTCAGACTCCTGTGTAAATGTCACAGTGTACTCCATATAGATAGTGTCTCCATATTTTCAACGCAAACACCACAGCGGCTAACTCAAGGTCATGTGTCGGATAATTCTTTTTGTAGTCTTTCAATTGCTGAGAAGCTTAGGTAATTACCTTTTCATGCTACATTAATACTGCTCCCAAACCTAGTCCAGAGGCATCACTATATATGACAAATCCTTAACTACTTGAAGGAATAGCCAAAATTGGAGTTGAAGTTAATTGCTTCTTCAATTCTTGAAAGCATTCCTCGCATTTGTCCATCCACTCAAACTTGACATTCCTACGAGTGAGTTAAGTTAAAGGTCGAGTCAAAAATAGTGCCGCTTGTTGCATTAATTCATAAAATCGTATATTTATTTTATTTTTGAAAGATGAAAAATAAAATAAAATAAAAAATGATGTCAAAAAATTTTAAAATTTTACAGACACGATGCTTACACTTTTCTGGGCATGCATGTAAAAAATGGGCTCAAAAAATGATAAAAAAAGTAAAACGCTATCAAGAAGCCCTCAGCCCGCGTAGTGGGGTGCCCAGGGACCGAGATAGGTAAAAAAATTTACATTTTTATTAATGTTTTGCATTCTAAAATTAAAATACAATTTTAAGGAATTAATGCAACAAACGAAATCATTTTTTTATGAATATTCTATTTTTTATGATTTTCTTTATTTTTCATCTTTGAAAAATAAAATAAAATAAAACCGACGTTAAAAAATTATGAAATTTTGCAGACATGATCCTTACATTTTTCTGGGCATGCCTGTAAAAATGGCCTCAAAAAATGACAAAAAAGTAAAATACTGTCAAAAAGCCCCCAACCCACGTAGTGGGGCACCCAGGGACCGGGATAGGCCAAAAATTTACATTTTTAATTATGTTTTACATTTTAAAATTAATATATGACTTTTAGAACTTAATGCAACAAGTGGCACCATTTTTTTATGAATATTCTATTTTTTATGATTTTCCTACTTTTCATTTTTGAAAATAGAATAAAATAAAAATGAAGTCAAAAAATTATGAAATTTTGCATACACGATCCTTAAATTTTTCTAGGTGTGCCTTGAAAAAATGGCCACAAAAAATGACAAAACAAAGTAAAATGCTGTCAAAAAGCCCCCGACCCATGTACTGGCACGCCGAGGGGCCGGGATGGGTCAAAAATTTATGTTTTAATTTATGTTTTACAGTCTAACATTAACATACAATTTTTTGGAATTTATGCCACAAGCGACACCATTTTTTTGATGAATATTCTATTTTTTATGATTTTCTTTATTTTTCGTATTTGAAAAATAAAATAAAATAAAAACGCCATAAAAAAATTACAGAATTTTGAAAACCCGATCCTTCCACGATTTTTAGGAATTAATGCAACAAGCACGACCATTATTTGATGAATATTCTATTTTTTATTGTTTTCTTTATTTTTTATCTTTCAAAAATAAAATAAAATAAAAATGACGTTAAAAAATTATGAAATTTTACAGACATGATCATTGCATTTTTCTAGGCATGCCTGCAAAGAAAAGCCTCAAAAATGAAAAAAAAAAAAAAAAAAAAAAAAAAAAACGCCGCGGAAAAAACCCCCCAAAAAAAAAAAAAAAAAAGAAATACGCTGCGTAAAAGACCCGACCCACGTAGTG